TGCATCCTCATTTATCCTGATTTTTTTGTGAAATCTTTGTCTTTTAGTCTCAAAACTACATGTTGTGGTCCTTCTTGTATGTATTGCATTATAACGTTTTGTGAAATATCTGTACATGATGGAGAAAAATGGATGTAATTTTCGGATTCTGCATACAGGAATTACTGTAGAACATGTAAAAAGTTCAAGACAATAAAACCATCGCAGGTTTGTCTAATTAGAGTAAAGTGAACGTACAGGCTACTAACCCTGACAATGATAAAAACAATTTAACTAATTAGTGCAGATGCATAGCAGAGTTAACTTCACAACATTAAAGTTTGGAAGTGTAGACATCTTATGGTGAATTCAAGTTATCAAACATATAACTTTAATCATGTCATCTATATTTACTGCTTTATGTCTGAGTTCACTATTCCAACATAAAAATCATTAATTTTTCTTGTATAACAGCTGATCCTTACCTCAATGATGTACTCCAAGGAGTTGACATAATCTTGCTCTGTTTGAATCATCTCCCGCATAATTAACTTCAGTTGTCTACAGTTATGTAAAGTAAACAATATACATTGAATAACAATAAGAGAACATGATTGATTATTAAAAGTCAAATATTTATCTTAATTTCAAACCACCGTAGAGATGACAGAGTAAGATTTTATTTTAAAAAAATGTTTTTAAATTGTAAGTCTGTCAATAGATTTTATATCAAGATAATACAATAAGAAAAATATTTTCACAGATTTGCTCATTGTTACTTAACTTTTCTGCTTAAGGATTGAAGTAAAACAAAGAGCTAAGAGAAGGTTTTGCAATTAAAAAATTATGAAGTTGATTGTACAGAAATAAAATAAAAACATCATTTCACAATGTGATAAATTTTGATATGACCTATGCAATAATATTTTATCCAAAGGTTACACAGGCTTTTCTCCATGGACATCATTTTACTGGTACAGAAATCGTGAGAAAGAGTTTATACCATAGTTTTTGAGAGAAGTTTCACTGGTTTATTGCAACAATATTGCTGAATTAATACCAATGCTAGGTGCTGCAGTCTATGAACCAAGTGAGTGGTGATTGTTTATTGATTCCTCCAAAAGAAGTCTAAAAGGTATTCTCCTTCACCATGGTAACATATATGCATCTGTTCATATTGCTCATTCAGTTCACTTGAAGGAAACGTGTGAAAATCTCGAACTTCTTAATCAGGTCAAATATAAATTACATGGCTAATTTGTGGAGACTTAAAAGTCCTTTGTATTTTGTTGGGTCAACAATGCAGTTATACAAAGTTTCCATGTTTTTTGTATGAATGGGACAGCAGAACACAAAATCAACACTAGATAAAGAAGCAATGGCCAAGTAGAGTCAGCCTGATACCAGGATTGCAAAACATTGAGCATGAGAGTTTGTTTGACACGACGAAAGTCCTATTACCTCCACTTCACATAAAACTGGGCTTGATGGAGCAGTTTGTAAAGGCCTTAGACAAAGATGGCAAGTTTCAAATATCTATGAGGGCAATTCCAAGCTCTTTAAGAAGCACAACTTAAAGAATGGAATTTTTGATGGGCCTTAGATTAGAAAATTGTCTTTGAATGAACAGTTCGAAAGGACAATGAGGAAAGTGGAAAAAGAAGCATGAATTGTCTTTAAAGATGTTATTGTCAAATTTTTAGTAAACAACAACAAATTAAGAAAATTTTGTCAATGACTTGCTCAATAAATTCAAAGAGTTGGGTTGCAATATGAGCTTGAAAGTTCATTTCTTGCACTCACATATTGACTATTTCCCTGAAAATCTGGGTGCCATCAGTGAAGAATAAGAGGAAAGGTTTCATCAAGACATCAGGGAAATGGAGAGGAGGTATCAGGGAAGGTGGAACATCAGCATGATGGCTGATTACTGCTGGTCATTGAAACGAGATGCTCCAAATGCAATACATAAAAGACCACAAAACATAATTTTGAGACTAAAATACATAGATTTCAGAAAAAAATTAGGATGAATGAGGATGCATATACATTTGACATCAATGTTCTTTCCTTTTCTTCAGTTTGCTTGAATTTTTGTTAACAAACATAATAATAAAAAATGTTCATTGTGGTAAACGAAATAATAATTTGATGTAAGTAAGAGTTTTTTTCTTCTCGATTTGTAAAAGATATTTACGTGACAGATGAATATTATTTTCGAAATCTGCATAGCTGAATTATGGGAAATTCGTTATTAAAACCAAAACAACTTTTATGAAGTTTAAATTCACAAGCCTGTGTTATTGATAATAGCAACATTTGAAGGAAGGAAAAAGCCCTCAGACAAAATATATAAAAATATGATATTGTGATATTCTTTTTCAATAGCAAGTAAAATTTAGAAAAAGTAACATACAGTAGTTTAATAATACATATCAGTACTCAGATAATTATATCAAGCTTTTATACTTCTTGGTTTTTGCATGTTGCTGTTTTCCTTGGCCACGTTCTGGGCTTGCTCGAATACTCTGTGTCCTTGTCAAGTGACTGTTCACGAGAACAGGGCCACCACAGGGCTGAGAATGCCTCTTGGTGGCTGGTAGTCTGGAACTTTCTTCCAAGTCTGCCCTGAAGCAGTCAGGAGAAAATAGAGGTTATTATCATATCAAATAATTAAAGAGTACTGTTAAAATTTACAACTAATTAAAAATATTATAATCAGTCATAAACGAATTAAAAGTACTGTAACTACATGATAATATTATCTAGTCAAAAGCATTCTTGAAGTCAAATAATATATGACAAAAATGACCAAAACTCAGTATTTTCTTATTATCAAACTAACATTGTTATACCTGGAAATTGTATATTATTTCCTCTGAAAATATACTACCACTGGTTTGTATACAACATATTTCACTGCCATAGGTTTTTACATAAGGAGATTCACTACAAATGTTTTGATATAAAACATGTTTTGCTACTATAGCTTATAAATAATGTGCTTTGCTAGCTCTGGTTTGTATACAAAATGTTTTACTACACTGGTTTATGTACAACATGTTTCATTATAATGGTTTGATCTAACCATTTTTACTACTTTATTTCTGGATACAAATAGTTGATTTACTCACCCTTCATCCTTCTTGTCATCATTACTAAGTGCTTCATGAAGTTTCAGGTTACTTGTAGGGGTCTGCGAGTCTAAGGAAGGTTTCTGAAAGTTATTTTCATGAGATTGCCAAGTAAGACTGTGACGCATTAACTTTCTCACAGGTCGATGATAGGAATGGCCATCTTTAGCTGAACTCTGAATAGAAGCTGCTCCTGCCACAATCCCACCCATTATTTTTTCCTTCAACACAACTAAACTGCTTCCACTGTGATTTTTCATCACCCCACCAGCAGAAGCTTCTTTCTGAGTGGAACCGCTGGTTCTAGCTTCAAGTTTGCTTCGAGAAATGGATGCAACTGGACCTTGGGTGGTAAGGTCTTCTGTGATTAAGCCTTGGCTAAGTAGTTGTTCCTCCTTCTCTTCCATGTAAAGATCCAACTGAAAGTTTTCCTTTGTTGCTTGGATAGGAAGATGGTTGCTAGGAAAAGAAGTGTATGAACCCACAGGAAAACTGTAGCTAGAAGAGGTATTAGCTACAGACCTCCTGCGATAGAAGCCAGGGTGTCCACCTAAGAGAATACTGGTACACTGTGGAGACCAAAAGGTGTAGGACTGTTCATGCAAGATTTGGGAGCCAACAGGTAAATCACAACTCCGCTTTATATGTTCTAGTTCCATTTGCTGTCTTGCTTTCATCAAAGTTGCTTGTCTAGCTTTGATTAAATCAACAGTATCTTGGCAGCGGACTTGTGCAGTCTGAAAGAATACGTCACAAACTTAGTTACTAACAGATAAAACATTAAATGGGTTTTAATTACTTTATATCAAATAGTCCTTTGTAACCATAACTCATGACAGAAAAAAAATTAAGATGGCCATTTCCTCTTAAAGACAATTTTTAAATCTTGACAGGATGGCTTTTGTAAACATATACTATTTATTAAACCTTTTTACTGCATTTTAGAAATTTATACACTAACATTTATGCCTATCAATCATATATTATTAGAAGCTCTCTCTAAATGACAAAAATAATCAACATACTTGGGTTTAGTATATTCAAACTTTTCATTACACATATAAGAGTTACATAGAGCCAAGTCAATTTCTTAATATCTTATACAAGTCAAAGTTGGCTGTAGCAGTTATAATTTAATTGCAGTGTTTATGATAGTGTTTCGTCTCTGGTCGTTAGTTAATTTTCCGAAAAATTCTTTCCGAAGAAACTTTACCGATACAAGTCCTTTCTTAAATAAAACTGGTTTATTCTTTCTCAATACAACTTTGCAATACACTTAATTTCCACAGACGCGCTATAACAAACGCTATAATTCACAACGAACGTCTCACGTGCTCGACTCAATTGTCAATTACACACACACTTTGTTGCCGTCACTTCTTGGCGGCTTATATATACAAGACTACCGCATATCTAGTAGCCTCTCGCGACTTCAGGAAGGGACGTGAACGTTCGAGAATATGACGCGTTACTAAAGTCACGTGACCCCCGCTGTCGTAGCACTGCCCCATCCTTAGTATTGTTCGTCCCGAACAATAGCCACTTACATTAAACCAATAAACAATTAACAATAACTTAATTAAATGTACAGAATTTACAAACACAAAATTAAAATTCAACAAAGTATCTTAATTTTACGGGATGTATCATCTTCCGTGCTGGTCTCCGTCTCGTTGCCTTCTGCTTCATGTGGGGTTCATCTGCTTCATCAAGAAACGTCCTATCATTGGTAACAGTCACATCAATGGTAGTAACTTCATCAAGGGCTTCACTGTTTCCTTTCTCAAAACCGAGTAGAGTTTCTTCTTCGACAGTGGCTTTTTCAGGTGACACATCTTCAGCAGCGTCATTTGTTCTGTTGTTCACTTCATCCCAACTGAAATGTCCTGGACCGTGATAACGCCAAAGCCTGTTGGCATGCACCACCTTTGGTTTACCTCGCCACCCACATTTTATCCGGAAAGTCACGTTTGAGAGACGATCTACTATGTCATATGGGCCTTCCCATGGAGAAGACAACTTAGAGGACTTCCCTTTGGTCTTCCTGGGATTATACAACCATACCTTATCTCCTGGTACAAAGCTGACTTCAGTAGATCTCTTATCATAAGTCAACTTCAAGTTTGTACGCACTTGATGGTGAATATCATCCATCCTTTCCGATAACACTTTCACAAACTGTGACACATTCTCAGGCAACTCTTCATAAGGTGGGCGTCCTGTTAACAGATCCACTGGCAACCGAAGTTCCCGACCAAACATCAACTTTGCTGGAGTGTATCCAGTGGTTTCATGCTCTGCTGTCCTATAGTT